GTGATAAAGATAATTGAATGTTAAATATCAATGAAATTAATTTAATATTTGACAGAAGAAAATCAGTACCATATCACATTCTTCGGGATCGGCCACCATGCCTTTCATCTTATACCGGATACCTTCTTTGGCCAACCTACCGGCGAATTCCTCGGCAGTTCCAGTTTGGCTACCATAAAATACTACCAAACTTCTTCCGGAACTCTTCAACTTCTTTATGAACGAATTCTCCGATGTTTGCACCGTAGGAAACATAGTTGGTCTGTGACAACAAATTTTTTTTTTATGACATCGTTAAACGCTTGAAATAAACAGATTAAAAGAAGATATAGACGAGGATCGAGGATGCTTAACCGTGCGAATAATTCATCTCTAGAAAGTTGAGTTTTCGACTACCTCGAAGAATATTTATTTTTGTACAAAGCCTCTCCTCTATCTCGTTTTTCACTCGAAAAAGCAAAACGATAAGTGGAAGATTTTTAACTCTTTCTTTGAAATTCAAGTTCGACGTCCGATTGTACTTATAAATAATTGCAAGTATCAACATTAAAACTACCAAAGAGTGAGCCAAAATAACAGCTACTTGTCACTTGTGTTTCATATCAATTTGTAACTCGATTTTTCATCAATTTTATAGATGAAAAAATATCAAAAATACGTCAACGAAAAAGATTTATATTCTTCGTTGCATCATAAACCTTTCCCTATTCTGACTGATCTTTAATTCCTCTAATATGCTGACAGAAGTTTGATTGCCATTAGTTTTAATGTTAATAATATCAGTGATGATAATTCATTATTACTGGATGGAATAGGATTTTGCGACGGGTGTGTATTCTTCCTGTTTGTTTCTGCGCATCAGCCACCATAGTGCAGCCAATAAAAGGGCACTGAGCAGTACAATGTCGAGGGTGCTGAACAGTGGTTCGTCGAGAACCTCTGTCCTATCCTCGTTCTCCAACACTGGAGAACCTGCCATTCTTATTGCTTTAGGTTGTAGTGCGCCTGCAGTCTGAAACAAGCGAAAAACAAGTTGCTCGATTATCTCGTTTCAACTATTTATATTACTGGCTCTATTAATGCCAAAAATAACCAAAGTCGATATTTTACTATTTCTGGAGGATACATTTTGATATTCTACACATATCATATATCATTGGTTTCAAATTTTCATCCATATTCATCGACATTCGAAACACTTCATTATTTGCAGAATTACGTAATGAATTAAGTGCTAGGAAGGCAACAGAAGGCTATTTTCTAACTAGAAAAATATGACGATAGTGTAGCTTTGCTATCTTAACCTTGGAGAGCCACAGTGATGTCGTTAACAAACAAATAAGAATGACTGTAATAGAACGTAATAAATTCATCATTCCAACTGAATGCAGAAAGCAGCACGAACATAATCTGCAAGCATTATGTTCACAACAGGATTGTACAAAATCAACTTTTGTTCGAATAACGTGTATTTCACATTATACTTTATCTGGAAGATTATGATAACTCAGAAGAGATCTCAACGTTAATATATATATATATATAAAATATATAATTATATATAATATAATATATATATATAAAATATATAATTATATATAATATAATATATATAATATATATACAATATATAAT